ACCGCAAAAATCTTAGCAATAGTACCCTTCAGCTTGTGTGGCCCCCTTTGCGATTTCTCTTTGGCCCAACAAAGAGAAAGGAGTAAGGGGAATGATTTGTTGCCCACTGTTCCTCTCTTGCACGTTCTTAAGGAGCTAATGTTCTTGTTGACCTTCTACATAAGTGCTGGCTGTGCATTTTCAGGTTCCACTGCAGATGGTTTTGCTGGAAGAGAGCGTACATGCACAGCAGAAATCTCTGTCTTGGGTTGATGCTAAATAGCACCACAGTAGGGGGACACAGATCCTGTGTGTCATGCTAACAGTCAGTCCTCATCTCTGTTGTGTAGTGGGATGACAAATACAGAGATGTCATCGTAGGATGCCTCGTGGCTGTCATCCAGCATCCACTGGTGGCCTCTCTCCTTTCCCCTTGCTCTGCATACCAAGCACTTGGCCAGTTCTGAGAATCTGTGGGTGGAAAAAAATGCGAAGTTTGGTTTAATGTGGCACCACCCCTTAAGAACAACATTGAGATATGGCTTTGCATTGTCAAAATAATAGACACCAGCTTTATAATTGTTTCTTTAGGATGGGGAAAGATTCGGAGGCAGTTTCCAGAGTCACAGAAAAGAGAGCTTGGTCGTGCCAGAGCTGACCTAGAAGCAGAGTGATCTCAGCCTGCTTTTGGTCTGACCAGGTTCTCTGGAAGGGAAAACGATGGCAAGGCTGATAGTACCTGTGAGGATCTGTCCTGTTTTCTGCAAGGAAGCTCCTGACCATATGGGCCACCTCTTTGTTGCACAGAACATCCCAAAGGCCATCAGTTGCCATGATGAGGACGTCGTCTTCCTTAATGTCATGCAGAGCAAAGTCAAATACATTCACCTGGAAAACACAGGAGTAAATCAGTGACAATTCCTGCAACGTACCGGAGGGGTGAGGGAGATGACTCTTCCCCTGAGAGATGACTTCAGGTGGGACCAGGTTGCTTTGAATCTTTTACATCCCCTTGCTGCTATGCTTCTAGATTACTCTGTCCTGGACATTCTCTGGGCAGCGTGCAGAGAGATGGAGGATGGAAAAAGGAAACGGCCAAGACCTGCCAGGTCTGTAAAAGGTGGGTGCTATAGAGGAGGAGCAGCCTCTTTAATTCCATCTTGCAATTCCCATGTGCCATGACTGACCTTGGGAATGCAGGAGAGGAAAGGTTTGACTTCAATGTTGGTGTCGATGACTTTGAGCTGATGATCCCCCAGACCTCGAGAGACAGCCAGAGTCCCCAGCAAGCGAGCCTGGCCACAAACAAAGCAAAACAGTGTTGAAACGTAACAATGTGGCACCTCTAAAGGCTGATGTGTGGCTTGTCCTGACTGATCTGTGTTGCCTTTAGGACCCTTCTCCAGGCATCACCCAGAACAGCCCCTGGAGACTTCAGAGATGGAGGAGTGATCAGAAGCAATGGCCTGATGGAGCGTGGAGACAGCCTGCCTGCCCGTGGATAGCTCCTGGTGGCCTGTGGTGTGCTCTGGAGTTAGTACAGGTACTCTGGGTAATGCTACAGACCTCAGGAAGCCCATGGTGGCATCTGCTCTTGATTTGGGGTGGCGAGGAAGAAAACTGGGTTCGTTCGGGGGGAGGGGAGGAAGGGGTCCTTTCTCCTGGCAAAGGAAGTTCTGCACTGACTCCTTCCAAAGGGGGTAGCATGCGGGTTGTAGTGCCGGGGGAGGTGACAGGGCTTTCTGCTCGACCCCAGCAGGCAGATGCTGGATGTGTGCAGTCATTGCGTCGCCCTGCCGCCTCCTCCTTCCCTCTCCAGGCTCCTTTTCTCAACCTCTCCTCGAGGAAGAGGGTTTGTAGGAAAGGTGGTAGGTAGAGCCGGAGGAGACAGTCCAAAGTGGGATCTGATGAAATGAGTTCTCATCTGAAATGAGTTCTTGTGTGCAAGGGGAGATGAGGAAAGGGCAGGCTGGCTCAGGGCTGCTGTCTGCTCTGCTAGCAGGTACTCTGGAGGAGGGTGCAACCTCTCTGCTGCGGAGGGCTCTGATTTACATTAATGAGGCAGCGTGGTGCTAGCGAAGGGAGCTGCTGTAGTGGGGCTGTGGGACTGTGCCATGCTGGAGAGCCCCAGAGCACGGGGTGCTCTGCAGCCCCAGTCTGTTGTAGTGCCCTGGAGTGTGACCGTGAGTGACAGTGACACTGAGGACCCCCAGCAGACTTGCCTCTGCCTTCCCAGTGTGTAAAGCATTAAGCTACCTGCTTCCCATGACCATGGACAAGAGGATACTTGAGGTCGGCTTTCTCCACCATCTTGTATCCCCTAGAACAGAGAATTCACCGCTGAGTTGGGATTTGTCTGACTTGAAGGTACAACCCAGCCAGAGCATTTCGACCCTTGTGGTGCCCCCATGCACAGGCAGCTGACTGAGGCAGGGACAAGGTGACTTGCTGAAGCAGATGCAGTGAAGATGACCCCTTGCTGAATGCCCAGGTGTTTTTCCCCTCTCCCCTTCCTCCCCAGCTTGTACCTGCACTAGCCCCGCCTCACAGGAGCCCAGAAGGACCATCTCAACTGTTCCCTAACCGCCCTGCCATGGCCCCAGTCCTTCCGTCAGGGGGGAGGCTGCTCACAGCAGTCTTCGCTTGATCTGGCACAGCTTTGCACTATCAAGCCCACTGCTCTCACCAGTGGGTCATGCCCCTTCTCCCTGCACCTCCCCATCGCTACGAGCAGGTAAAGCTGCCCTGTGCTGCACCCTTATCCTCAGGCAGAAAGCACTCACCAGCCCTCCATGAAGTAATCCCGGTACAGGACTTTCCGGCCCACATCATCTCCCTTCAGCCTCCGTGGAAACTCAAAGCGCGTGAACTCACCGTCCAGGAGCTTGGGGAAAAGAAAAGCCTGGAGGAGGGAACGAAGGCGTGAGGATGGACAGGTTCTGCTTCGGCGGAGTAGGGCACCAAAACTGCTTCGCCTCGGGACTGGCACTCCCAGCAGCAGAATGGAGAACAGAATCGGGAAAGCATATCCCAAGGAGGATGTGAGCATCTCCCATACTAAAGGCTGCTGGTTGAATCTTGCCCCCAGCCCTCCTTGACTAGTGCCAGATGACATTCTGGCCACACAGTGGCCTTTGAGGAAAGCTGGTGGTCCTCTTTCCACAAGCCCTCTCTGACCTAGTGGGATGCTCGCAGCTGGATTGTCTGATGCGCGGAAGGAGTCACTCACCAAGTGCTGGATTCGCTGCCTCTCTGTCTCGGGTGTGAACTCGCAGCTCATGGGCACAACGTTGTCCTTCAGAACAAGAATCGCCCTATGACAGGGAGAGACAAAGAGCTGAGCTGAGTCTGTCACTGCAGCCCTCCTCTTACTGAGGCTAGCCCCAGGGTCAGCCAGGTGTGGGACTGGGGGTAACCAGTGGCAGAGTAATGCCAGAGAATAGCTCTGCACCCAGGAACGTTTAAAAATGCCGGTGTATTTTAAATAACTCCATTGCAATTGCACGGTTGCAGCAGAGAACTGAGCCTGCCTGGTTTGACGATGGTAGAGCTCGCTGTCAGAGGACTGGTGGGCCAAGGCCAGATGAGGAAGCTTTTTAGGATGCTTTGAAATCACCTTCCACTTTTAAACACCTTCCAGGCTGAGCTTACTGCTGCACTACCATCCCAATGCTGCCCTGTGGCTGGGCAGTGTTAGTTCCTTGAAATCCCCAAACCCTTCCAGGAGGCATGAGAGCATCCGTCCATCATGGATGGACGATGGCATGGAGGAATGGTCCATGGACCATGGTCCAGCACGGTCCTACGGCAGGGAGGAAGGAAATGGCTGGGCTGCACATTTACCTTCCATAGGGTTAAATAAGATGCTGGAAACCTTGCTTATCTCCCAGCTCTCATCCCTCAGCAACTTCCCCCTTTTACTGTGACTCACCTGCTGTCCCCAGCGTTAGCCACATACAGCTTTCCCTGAAAATAAAGGGCAGCCAGAGCAGTGCAGCCTCCCATCTGGTTCGTAGCTTCCATCTCCTGGCCAATGACTTCATCCTGTTGGTTTAAACAAGTCTGGAGAGTGACGTGAGCTGGGCTGCTGCTTTCTGCAGCTGCCTCGTGCCTCCCAGCAGAAATCCAGAGCCAAAACTGATTGCAGATGGGCCATGGGAAACCAGCAAGGCAAAAGACAATGTGGCTTCGGTACAGCCAACAAAGCTGTTGCTGCCGGACTAAGGACTGCTTTAGGAGCGTGATGGGGAGATCTCAAACCTGTACACGCTGTATGAGTCTAACAATAGCCACCGTCTAGCCCTAAAGAAACGCATCCCCTGGGCACAGTTTAGCAGAGATGCTGCAGCTTTGCTCTGGGTCAGCACTGCCGACGTGCAACAGATCCGAGGCAGATCCTGGGGAGCTGACCCAGCGCTATCTCAGCACGCTTAAAGGTATGGCCGAATGTTCCTGCCTGCTTGACGAGCTGCAGAACTGCAGACCTTGCCCACCCCGGGCAGCAGGGAGGGACAGACTGACTGCTTGGGGCAGCAGGACTGGTACCCTGCACGGGGTACTCACGCATTCCTGGAAGGCGTTCTCCAGGGCTCCCACCACCAGGTCTTTGGCGTGGATGTGCTTCTCCTCCACGAACTGGGGGTCGCTGTCACAAACACAGTGTCCGCTCAGATTCATGGGGGGACGCGCCTCTGTGATGCCTCCCACAACCTCCTCCAGCTTCTGCTTGATGCAGTAGTGCAAATAGTTGGAAGCGATGATGGCAGCTTCCGGGCCACCGTGGCCATCAAATAGTGCCCAGTAGTAACCAGTCAGAAACTGCAGTGGGGAAAAGGGACAAGACAACGAAGGGGATCTTCAGAGAGGGGGAAGACAGGGGCTGGAGAGAGGCCATACAGACGGCAGGCTCACAGCCAGGACGTTGTTGTACATGTTTTGCCTGGCTCTTCCACCCCAGCTACCCTTCCCTGGTGCCAGTTAATCCCCTGCGCAGCTCAAACTCATGTAATGCCCACGTGCTGCTCTGCCAGGCCTGTCATCTGAGCTCTGAGCAGCTGGATTCGCAGCCGCCCACCCTCACGCGCTGTTCCTCTGTGTTTCAGGGGAGATGGGGCTACTCCATTTTACGAGAGGTGAGGCAGAGCCGCTCCCAGGTGAGAGCATCCCGTGTGCCTGGTTCACGCTGTTGTCCCCGAGTGATGACAACACACACCAGCCCTTGAAAGCAGAGCGAGGACAAGTAAAGGAAAGGTGAGGGCACCGAGTAAAGGGCTTGGACGACCTCAGATGCTGCAGGGCATGGGCCACGGAAGAAGAAATGGCATGTACGGGCAGAGCTGGGTGTCTGCTGGCCAGACACAGGGTACATGGGTCGCCTAAATGCATCCAAGGAAGGAAGGGTTTCAGCACGTGGGCATATAGGACCGATGGGGCAAGCCTGTGTTTCCTGTACCTGGGCCCTTGGGTACGGGCCAGGGCTGGCAGCAGGGTGAGCACAGCCTGCCCGTGGGCTATACCTGCGTGGAGCACAGGATCAGCCATTCCTCATCTTCCTCCAGGCCCGGCTTTCTCCTCCGGATGGAGATCTGACAGCAGGCCGCCTGGTCCTCGTTGAATTCTGACTTCTCGGCATTGATAACCCTGGGGGTGCAAATGCTCCAGGTAAGGCGCGCAGACGCACTGCACCTCGCCGGCTGCCAGCCAGCTGTGCTGGGTGCTCAGCAGCCACCGCGAACGGCTGCACCTTGCCCCGTCATTCCAGCCCCATGCTCCCTGCTCCCTTTTCAAACTCCAGGATCTCTTTGCTGGGGACCTAAATAGCAAGTCCTTTATGTGCACCAGGAAAAAGCTTGGCCAGGGACACAGGGACAAGTGGTTTTGGAGCACCCTGGCCTCAGGCAGCCTTTGTCGGCAGCCCATGCTGTGCTATTTCCTTGGCGACACAGTGAATTGCAAAACCACCGTCATTGTTTTTCCTTCCAGCCTTGCTAACGTTTGTCCCTGGATGGGAGTTTGCTCTCCTTGCACAGCTCAGAGATTTCCGAAATTCTGGCCTCCCCACCCTTTGTTTTAAGGCGCTTCGCTAGGAGCAAGGGGATGGATGCCCGGTTCCACTAGCTCCAAAAACCTTCCCCCGCCCCAACCATCCTCCCTGCTCCCCCATCCCTTCCCCCTGCAAGGGAGGGTTTTCTGCCCGCCGCTGCCCAACACAGCAGCCCCACGGAAGAGTCCTGCCTGACCAGCTCCCTGCAACCAAGGCGCAGAGCAGGGGACGGGTGACATCCCAGCTGTAAAATTGCAGTGTAAACATCATTGCATTAGGCGATGAGCTGACCTGATGCTGCCCTCGGGGCCGCCCCTGCCACTTGTCACAAGCAGTGGTGTGTCACAAGCCACTCTGCAGCTGGCAGAGTGCGGGCAGCTAAATGCAGGCAGGGAGGTGGGCAGCTGTGACCCACGCTGCTGCCAGCCACCGACGGGGAGGGAGAAGGGCCGAGGAAAACACGCCGCCACATCAAACCTCGCACTGCTGCCGTGTCTGGAGGAGGAAGCTGCTCCCCTCCTTGCAGGCAGACGCGGGCAAAGGGGGGCGATTTCTGCCTGCGAGCCCTCTCCAGGGGAAGGCTGAAGCTCCGTGCTTGGGCCGGGGCTGCAGCCGAGGGGAGCAGTGTGGGGGGAAGAAGTGGGGTGCGACCACACCTCTGGGCACCAACTCAGGAGTCCCCCTAAACCCCCCCCGTACCTCCCACACCCCCCAACCGCTCCCTCCCCCCCCCCAGACC